GGCAGCTTTCACTTCCCTTGGGGCGGAGAAAATGTGATCTAAACAACAGACAATATCTTTTCACAGAAGATGCGACTAGTGGAGGGGAGGGTTTGTGTGCTACATGATGTGTGTGTGCGTGAAAATGGAATATGTGGTGTTTCGAGAATTCTTCTTGAACTCGGTCCTTCTCATTCATTCTGAAGAGAGTGTCACCTCTGGCCGGGCCTCCCCCGGTGGCCAGCTGCCTCTTTCCTTCACTTCATCACCTACCTGGTTTACTGTCTCTGAGGGGAGGGGCGTTAGGACAGACAGGGCAGCTCAGACTCTGGGCCAGGGAGGAGGGAGCTGCTGGCCAGCTAACCGGACTGCTGCCTTGGCATTCAGCTTTCTCCGCATCACTTGGGAGTTTCTTTTCAGTCCCTTGCCAGGTGGGATTATAGGGAAGTAAGTTCACCGAGGACCTGAGAAAGTGAGTGCGAGCTCTGGAGAGCTGATGTCTGCGTCCGAGCAGGTTTTCAAATAGGGGAAGGAGATTTATACTTGCACTTAAAACTGGAGGAAAGGTTTATACTTGCTGTTGGAACTGGGTTGACATGTAGCTTCTCATATAAAAGGACTACAAATTAAGGTTTAAGCTGTGAAACGAAGTTTGTAATAACAGACCTGGCACTTAATCACCCAGTGTTTGTCTCTTAAAAACGATGTATTACAGCTCCACCAGGTGTGCCAGCAGTGTGAGTGAGCCACTGACGTCCCCAGGGAGAGGAGAGCCGCTCTTGAGTTCATTCAACGTCGGAGTTACGGCAAGGCAAAGAGGGAGACTCTAGGTTTCTCTCTGAAGTCTGTCTGGATAAAACCCTCAAGATCATGCTGCTGCACCTTTGGCATAGAAATACCCAAATGCCATAGACAGGCTCATATATGTCAGTATCCTCATTCTGGTCGGTTAGTCGGTTGGTTGGTTAGTTGGTTGGTCATTTATTTATTGAGGTGTTCCTAAAAGGTCTGGGACTACTTGAGGTCCGTGGGTTAGCTTTGCTTGTGAGTGTTGGACACTGGACTGGGATCTGGCTTCATGGTAGGAATTAGGGCATTGTGGTGCAGTAGGCCAGCCCGCTGGTGACCTGCATTCCCTACTGGGCTCTGCTATTAGGCAAGTGGCTGCTTTTCTCTGGCTCTCCGTTTTCCCATCTGTGAAATGAGTGAATTATATTAGCTGATCTCTAGAAACTCCTCACCATGTGCATATGCATTTGAGTGATTTTCATTTGGAAAAGAATAAACTTGTTGTTAAGCATTCGAAACCAAATAGGAAGATAAGGGAAGAAAGCTATACTTAGTACAGAGATTTACATTTTTTAAATTAAACTCTACATTATGATATTGATGTTAAAAACAAGAATGAGACGGTCTTCACTGTTCCCTTCTTAGTTCTAATATGGCACAGATGTGATAAAGTTCCTGCGCAGCCTCACAGAAAGTATCCTATCAGATATAGAATGTTAAAAATAGCAAAAATGTTACAAGTAAATTGAGCTTTCAACTTGTTTTAGGCAGCGCAGAATTTAAAACAAAACAAAACAAAACAAAAAAACCCATCCAGCTACTCAACATTGCAATGTGAAATTCGTTTCCTACCTACTGATTCTGTTCCCATCTAGTTTTGGAGAAAGGAGGAAGACATTGCTTCTTTCCATGCGTTAAGTAAATATCTTAATCATTTAAAGATCAAGGATAGTATAAATAGAAATGTCTAGAGTTCTGAGTAACAAACACTGGTTTCTTCTCATATTCTAAACACTAATAAAAGGAATCATCCTTACTGGATCCAAATATTCTTCTTCTTTTTTTTGGAGAGATTTTTCCTATAGGGTGCTTGTGCTCGCCAGAGACACAGAGAGAAAGAGAGAAATCACTCCCCGGAGGAATGGCCGTGCCTCAATCCCTCTTCCTCCATTCTCCTCTGGGGATCTTGGGCTCTCACATATACGTCCCCAGTGTGAGTTTTAAGCCACTGGGCCCGGGACTCAAACCATGTTCTATTATGTGGGAGTCCAGCAATGTAACCATTATGCCATCTGCTGGTCCCTGGATCCAAATATTCTAAATTGCAGTTGGTAAGTGTATGCCATTTTAATTGATTTTATTTTTACTAGCTGCAGACACTGACTTAGAAAAAATGTAACCCTAATTTGATTCTAGTTTTTAACCACACAAACAAGTTAGGAAATTTCAAGAACTGATGATGGCACTAGATGAAATATTAGTCCCTTTGCCTTTAAACTTGGCCCCATATCAAATGAACTCATTATTTTAGTCTTTGTGCTTCCCTGCTTTTAAAAAAATAGTTAATTTATCATTTAAAAAAATTACCCATGAATGAAGATTGATTTCATTTGTTGGCTCTTCTCTCCCCTTAAAAAATTCAGTTTATACTTCTTTCTTTTTTTGTTGCTCTCTTGGGTTAGCTTATCTCCTCCATATGTGCATTCATTGGCATGTTATGGCATGTGTGTTGGCTCTGCAGTGCTCAGCTCTTAGAAACAAGCCACATATTGCCATGCCACCTGCTTAAGTTTGGAAAGTTAGCTTTGAGTGCAGCGTAGACTTTGATCTAGTTTTTTTCCCCCCTGTGAGACAGTTACATGAAAACAGAATCTTTGATTTGAATAACTCCTCTGTTCCTCTTATTCTGCACTTGTACTTGTCCTAATGCTCTGCGAGGGACATTGCAGTTGGTCGCCATAGAATTGATTTGAGATAGGAGATAGACACTTAAGAAACAGGTAGTCAGGACATAAGGCCCAAAGATGGAGGCACAATAGTCAAGGTTGCACTTGGAATGGCTTGCTCATAAGAAACGGCTTACAGCAGTGACTCAGTGGTTAGCTTAGGATGGCTTTGTCCATGTTCCCACTATATTCCGGAACCTAGAGTGAGTTTTAGGGCCCAGAGCGCTCAAACAAAGACTTGAGCAAACATTGACTACTAGATAATGTTCTCTGGGCTGAAGCTCTCAAAGACTCGGCCGTTATTTACCAGAAGCTCTAAATACACAACTCCCTAAATGTACAGCATGACATGTAGCATGTGACCTCCACAGGGACAAAGCATGACCAGGTCCCTTCTGGATAGGATAAAAACCCCTAGTAAGACCCACAAGTTGGCAACCCATTTTTTGAGACCCCTCTTTACCGCCTGGGAGCTGTCCTTATCTTCCAATAAACTCCGCTTTGCTGCCCTCTCTCTGTTTCCTCGTCTCTAATTCTTTGTGAGTGTGCAACAAGAATCAGGTCCTCTGCTGTTCCTGCATTCAGTTTTAGGTCCACATACCCCAATATCCCACCTCAAACTGGCACTAAGTAAAAGTTGACTTCTTGTAGAAAAAGAGAAGAGAGTAAACTCAAAATTTTGAATACTGGTACAGACTTTCTGTTAATTTAAGAGTAACAATTCTGGTTTTGGTGAAAAACTTAAAAAGTAGATTTTACAATGTGTTTTATACCAAAGGTAAAATCTTAAATTAATTCATTTTGTTTAAAAAAGGGCTTTTCATTTTTTGAGAAGACAAGTTCTTTCTAATAGCCATGTGATGAAACTTTACCAGTGAAAAGAATGCACACAAACATTGCATGTATGTAACACACAATCACATGCAAACTCTCAGGCTCTGGAATTTAATGTTTAACTTGAGGTTTTCAGCATACTGCAAATTTTGAGTTTGAAGCATAGTTGTTTTTTTTTTTTTTTTTTTATGTGAGTTTATCTGTTTATATTTCCAATGAGTGAGAGATACATAGAGACCCCCAGATCGCACCCCCAGCAGGATCCCGATGCCACGATCCACTGCCGTCCTTCAGCCAGCTCCAGATCATGGGCACCTGCATGCTGGTGTATCCAGGGAGCTCTCTGGTTGTGGATGGGGAACTTTCCCATGTGGGATTGCCTCAGAGGTGCCGAGTTTTACTGCAGTGCCGCTGTCCCTAATTTGAGGCATATTTTGCATGTTCACTGTAGTATGCCTTGAGAAGGAGTCTGTAATCAATTTTCTTTACATTCTTTTTATAACCCAATTACTGGCACGTCATTTTACTTCTCTAAGCTCATTTTCCACGTCTGTATCAAATGGAGGCTGTGGGCTTGCATGTAACAGTTGGGAGTTTGGGTTTGAGCAATTTCCAATGTCTCTTCCGGAAGTTTTAACTCTTCTATGACATACTTAGCGAAATGCTCCATGACCAGGTCCACATTTATTTGCTTGTCTTTGGCTAATGCTTTACAGTGAGGATTTCCTGTTGCATCCATGTGGCGCATGGATTTTTGAACGATTTAGTTATAATCTAAGACATTTAATTTGCTCGGGTAGTATATGTACAACATTTTCCAAAGGTGTCTTCATCAAACAAGTTTAGGTTGGCTTTCAAAGGCCATGAACAAGTCTGAATATTAATGGAATTGAGGTCATTACGTAAAGGCAACTGGGGACATTTCTCATTATCCATTCTTTATTTCACTAATTAAATTAATGTCTGAACATTTAGACCAAAGAATATGTGTAACTCCTCTATTTTATTTAGGTATAGCCTCAGCCCTATATTCCTTTTAGGTTGTAGTAAGTACAAAATAGTTACAAATTCTTGAGGAAATTCTTGAGGATTATTATAATCTTATACCTCCCATGAAGTACATGAGCAATAAAATGAATGCAATTGTCATTCTTTCTCTTGTGTTTGCTCTTTTCTGGATACTTGGTTAGGTGATTGCTTTTGTTCTCTATTACTAGCTAACCTAGCCATAAGGATTTTTGTATTCTTAAAAAACCCAATGACTTAAATTATGTTATCATTATTTTTATAATCAAAGGACCAGAGAGGAAAATATCCTAATACATATGGAGCGCCTTCGAAATCCTTGCCTAAAGGGAAGCAGCCAAAGTACCAGGTTAACCTTGTCTCTGAGAAAATCCACCAAGATGTACTGGTTTGACACTACGTAGTAACGTTGTATCATTTATTTAGATATCCTTGGATCAGAAGATCTTATCGTGGATGTGACTTCCGATGATGCTGTGAGATTTTATCCCTGGACCATTGATAATAAATACTATTCAGCGGATATCAATCTGTGTGTGGTGCCAAACAAATTTCTCGTCACTGCGGAGATCGCAGAGTCTGTACAAGCGTTTGTGGTTTACTTTGACAGCACACAAGTAAGTCTGGGCCTTCTATGGAATCTTGAATAAGAAACTACCAAGTGCTTGCTTTTATTTCCCCCTGCATTTTCTCTGAACTCTCAATGTCTTTTTTTTTTTCTTTTCTATGTGTGTGTGTGCGTGTGTGTTCGTTTTTGTTCCTCTAGAAATCGGGTCTTGATAGCGTCTCCTCATGGCTTCCGCTGGCAGAAGCGTGGTTACCTGAGGTGATGATCTTGGTCTGTGATAGAGTGAATGAAAACGGTAAGGCAATCAGGTGGGAGGGTCGTTGGGCAAGTGTTGGCCATTCCTGAAGGGAGTACATCTGGTTCCTTAGGACAGTAGGGCTCATGGGACTTTATTGCTTTACAACAGCATTTTCAGCTATTTCTCTTTGAGATGTTGCAGTGGTTAACATTTTTAAAAGGATAGATACCTTGGGAGGGACCAACAGTTAGCCTAATGGCTATGTCGCTGGATTCCCACCTGGTCGACCACGATTCGAGTCCCGAACCCAGTGGCTTAAACTCACACCGGGCATGTGTGCCCAAGATCCCGAGAGGAGAATGGAGGAGAAGGGATTGCGGCGTAGCCATCCCCCCTGGGGGGTGATTTCTCGCTTTCTGTCTCTCTGTCTCTCTCTGTCTGGTGAGTGCACGCGCCCTATAGCAAAAACCTCTCCAAAAAAAAAAAAAAAAGAATAGATACCTTGGGGATGAGAAATTGTTTTGTTTTTATTACTCTATTTGAAATGTCCTTAGAGTAACATTGACATGAAGGGAAATCTGTTCAGATTTGTGGAAATCACTGCAGAGGTATTCATGTTTTATTTTATTTTTACTTATAAAGATTATTTTATTATGTTTAGGTGTAAGCCGACAGAAAGCTCAAGAATGGTGCATCAAACATGGCTTTGAATTGGTAGAACTTAGCCCAGAGGAGTTGCCTGAGGAGGATGGTGAGTGTTTATGCAATAATAGAACACATAGTATTTGAATTAAGATACAAGAGTTTATTTTAATTCAAGGAAGAAGAATCATAGTAAAATTTCAGAAACGTTTTTTTCTCTAGCTATTTGGAAAGATTTGAGCAAAATTCATTTATTTTGTTTCACCATCCATTTTAGGATTTTGAAAATGTTCTTGGTTTTTCTTATGAGGAAAGTTTTCTAGATAGAAATCTGTTATTTCCCAAATCCCTTATGCTTTCACCACTGCCAAAAGAAGAGGGTTAGATATTCACAGGCAAAGTTTACCTTTCTTACTTCGTTTGCATTTTTGTTTTTAATTTGCAAGAGGTTACATGCACTCACTAGAGGGAGAGAGGGAAAGCACCCCCCATGGGGGCTGGTCACGCCACAAATACATCCTCTTTCCTTTTTCCCTCCCTTCGGCCGTTTGGGCATGCATGTACATGTGCCTGGTATGTTTTTCAACCTGCCCACTTTCAAACCATGTAGTCAGCCACATGGGTTCCAACTGCCTTAACCACCCATGCTACTGACTGGCCCAATGTTACTTATTTTCAGTTTGTAGGAACCTAAAGCTGAATTCTCAGGAACCCCACAGGTCATGTCAGATGTCTTGTAGGTCTTGTGAATGTTGGAAACCAAAGATAGTTCCAGAATGCCTCTCTCTGGGTAACTTTGTATGAACTGTCTTCTCCTATCATCTGGACCTTCTGTTTCATCTCCCTCTTCTCTCTTCCCCCTTTTCTTTTCTCATCTTTTTCCTTCCAAGTACACCTATCATGGGATCTACCAGGAAAAGATACTTTTTCCCCCATCAATTTACATAATCTGGTGCCAGAGATAAAACATGTATGTAACTAGTTGAATAACCAAGTAGACTAGACTGCCCATATGTATCACAGGAAAAACACAGGCGTTATGGTATTTCAGACACAGGAGAGATGATTTCTCTTTAGAAGGTCAGAGAATGAAGTGGCAGCTTGAGCTGCCCCATGTCCACTCCTTGGGGAAGAAGTGGACAAGGTGCTAGACTTGTAGAGGACTGGTGGTTAGGCGGCATTGAGAAGGTACCAGCTATCCCAAAAGACGCTCTGGGCAAGGGTGACCAAGATGGATTACGGTGCACAGATGGGGCATAAGTAGTCATTACGTGAAATCTGTAACCTATATATTTAAAAAAGGAATCAAGAAATCATTTTCTTGGGCTGACCCTGTGGTGTAATAGAAATGTACTGCTCAAGAGAAGCTGGCTATCACAGGGCAACTATGGTTCAAATCTCCAGCCCAGTCAGCCCAGAACACAGTGGGGACATGCATGCCTGCCCGAGATCTCATGAACTGGAGGACTGGGGACCCTTTGACTTATTTAGGATTTTTCTAAAGTACTGTATCTTTGTCAGTAAAACTCTGCCAGAGAAGAAGAGAATAAAAATGAAGTGAAGGGGCCGGCAGGAGGTGTGGAAGTTAAGCTGTTGTACTCCCACATGGTCTACCACGATTCTAGCCCTGGTCCAGTGGCTTGAAAATCATGCTGGGGACGTAATGCTTGTGTGCCGAAAATCCCAAGAGGATAGTAGGGATTGTGGTATGGCCATCCCCATCGAAGGGAGAATTTCTTACTTCCCCTTCCTCTGTCTGTCTCTCTGGTGAATGTACGTGCCCTATGGCAAAGACCTTTAAAAAAAAATTGAGAGAAAAGGCCAATGAAGCTGGCTTGTGGTGACTCACTGGTAATGCAGTGCTCTGCAGAGTGGAACCCACACATAGGTTCTAGGTTCGTACCTGGAGTCTCTCTGCACACGCTAGGCTGGATGGGCATGCCCGTGCCCATGATCCAGACTAGCTGAAGCCGGGGGTGAATAGCAGCGTGAAGACTTTGAGGGTGCCTCTTTTTCTGTCTGTCTGTCTCTCTTTTTGCCTCTCTCTTTTATAGGAGAAATACATAAAGTTTAAAAAAAAGGTGTTTTTTCTCCCTGTACATTCTTTAAAATTTCGACAATTAGGGAGTACAGATTCTCCTGTGTTTCTGTGTTTTTCTAGGTCCCCGACAAGTTCCACTCTGTTCGTATGTGTATGTATGTGAGCACGTGTGCAATCGCTTATTTGTGGTACTAGAATTTTCTCTTCTTCCTATTGTCCTTGCAAGTTAGGATTTGATGGTTATGATTTCATAATCTCTTCTTTATACCACTGTCCTCTCTTTGCCCTTGGTCTGAATGCTGTTCTTTTATTAATTTAGTGTAATCTTTTTTGTTCTTTTGAGAGACTTTTGCTATAGGGCATGGGTACTCTTGGGAGAGACAGAGAAAGACAGAGAAGTAGAAAGTGAGAAATCATCCCCCAGTGGGGATGGCCACAACACAATTCCTTTTCCATTCTCTTCTCGGAATTTTGGGCATGCAAGCACACGTGCCTCACACGAACTTCAAGCCACTGGGTCCCAAACTCAAACCATGCTTGACCATGTGGAAGTCCAGCGCTTTAACCACTATGCCACCTGCTAGCTCAAGCTTAATCTTAAAATAGGTTTTTTGACAGGTCATTTTTAGGTAAGGTCATGGAAAACCTTCATAGAATTTTTTAAGACAAACTGTTCCAAGCCATAGGCCCTCATCTTTATCTGCAGTGTAGGACTCTATGCTTGTTAGTTTTAAATTTCATGTCCCATATAGCAAATTATGAAATAATAATAATAATAGATAAAATTAGATAAATAATTCTTTAAAAGCATTTTTTATCAGGCTAACTTGTTGCCTGGTCGTTAAGGGAGCTGGATCCCACAACTGTGTGTATCAAGTCCCAGACCCAGTTGCTTGGGGGGGAAAAAAACCATGTGCCCAAAATACTGAAAGGGGGGAGAAATGGAGGAGAAGGGATTATGGTGTGATCATTTCCCTTGGAAGGTACTTTTTCTCTGTCTCTTTCTGTTCCTGTGTGTTTCTCTGGCAAGGGCTTGCCTTTCCCCATCCCTCTCTTCTCGATTAAAAGAAAAAAAAAAATTTTTTTTAAATCGTATTGGTTCTAATTCTTCATTTCAGGCTGCATTTTTGGTTCTGGGTTATATCAAAGTATTTCTTACCCAAGAATGGAGTCTTTCATAATTAAGATAAATATGCCTCTTAATGCCTCTTCCCCCAAGCACTGGTGGTGATAAGCTCATCTTTCTGGAGTATTTCAGGTTAATCCTCACCATATTTCTGTGGGTGGGGTGGTGTTCTTTAAAGGATTCGGCAGCCCAGGGAATAGCTGTTGTGTGCCTGCTGTCTTTCAGGCACCACGTTAGGTCCCAGACATGCCTGAGGGAGTTCCCAGTCCAGTGGGCAAGGCTCCATCGGCAAGGCCTCAGTCCCAGTGCCTCCTTTCTCTAGGACAGGTGTGCACAGAGCTGTCATCCCCACTTTTCTTTAAGGATGCCATAAGTGGTTTGCCCTTGATCAAATGGCCAGAAACAACAAGGCCTGGGTTCAAATGTAAATCTTCTGACTTTCACTTCTGTGTTCTTCCTGTTAAACCACCTAGGGCCAGACCCGGCCCCCAGAGACAGATTCTGGGTGGACTGTGTTCTTTTGTTCTTTTTTTAAATTCCATGAGTAAGAGGAAGAGAGAGAGAGGTACAGTGTCCCAGACAGGTTCTTGATGCTACAGTCCATGACACCCCAGCCACATCCACGGCCCTGCTTCATCCAGCTTGAATCATGGGAGGTCTCCAGACGGGAATCCACGGCCTTCCCTGTGGGCGTGCTGTGCAGGCTTCATGTGCACCACTGTGTCCCAGCTCCCGTGTCCTGTAAACTCTCAGGAGACTTTTCTTATCCACACGAAAACGCCTTCTGCTGTTATTTTCGACAAGCACTCGTGTGCTTTTCAAGACCCGAAGGCTCTTCACTTGCCTAGTGCACAATCAGATGTGTACTGTAGCTGAGGAACCACCCTCTCGGTGTGCTGACTGGGACTTCTGCCCTGTTATTTAGAGCAGTCGAAGTCCAGAAGCAGGACGGTACTAGGACCGAACTAAGTTGTTTTCATGACACTTTGCCTGTCTCTCACACTTAGTACTTTCACTTCCCACTCTTAGACTTTCTCTGATCAAGTTCTTCTCTAGGTATCTACCATAACTAATGCTGTCCCATGGTTCCCAGCAGTAGGTAGAGCAGTCGTGGGATCTGACAGCATACTGACAGAACCTGCCTTCAGGAGTCTCATCCTCTGTAGGTAACCCAGTGTGGCATCTCTGATACAGTGCCAGGGTTGCACAGCGAATAGACTCTCAAACTTCTAGGAGCCTGTGAGTGGGTTCCACTGGCGAGGCCGTGGAGATGACTTCATTATAGACCTCTCTTATATCGTGTGTTTAATTATCTTAATGTCTAACGTATTCATAGCATGAGCTCTGAAGTTTTGTATTTGCCGTTTTTTCCCCTAATTAATAAGTTATTTCGTGAAGTAACAAATGTGATGATTAAGCCACTATCGTTTGAAAGTGTGGCTTACATAGGTATACATATGTATGGATATTATGCATGTATGTGTGAGTGTGTGTATAAATATATATTTCCCCTCCCTGATTAGATGACTTCCCAGAATCTACAGGAGTAAAACGAATTGTACAAGCCTTGAATGCCAATGTCTGGTCCAACGTAGTGATGAAGAATGGTAAGTAACTTGGAGCTAAAGTAATTGTTTCTCCCTGTTCCCTGCAAGTTTTAAATCACCGAGATATGTGTGGAACCATTAGTATTGTATGGAATCTGTAGATTTGTTCCAATTTCAAATTCCCAGTTGAAGGAGGAACCAAAAATAGCATTACTAGGAATTTTTAACATATGCTCAACAGTTCATTCAGTGAGAGTTTGGGGATTGCCCACAACATGCTCAACATTGTCTTTGGCTTTGAGAAATACATCTAGATTGAACCCTATCCTTAAGGAGTTGCCACTCCAACTGTGAAACCCAAGTGTGCACTTTTCAAATGCTGTGGGAACCATGCAAAGCAGTTTGCAGTGCAAAGTGACCATTGGGGCAGTGAGCGTTTAGTCAGAGTTCTGGCTGTTGTTAGGCTTCAGGATTTAGAGCAAGCTTCAAGGAAAAGGTGGGTCTTCATGCTAATTTTCATGGTCAAGATTTGGGCAGATGATAGGTGAGATAAGCAATGGACCAAGTGCGATGTCAAAAAAATGGTTGTAGGTTTTAGGGCCGCTGGGAGAATCTGACCTGCCAGTGGAGGTAGAAGAGCCTGAACGCTAGGTGGGAGAATTTGTGCATTTTCCTGTAGGGATTATGGAGTCACTGGAAATATTTTTTAATTTGCTACAGGGTTTGTGTGCTCACCAGAGAGAGACAGAGAGTCAGGGGCCAGAAGAGTAGGGAGTGGGATATCACCCTCAGGGAGGATGGCCACATGCAGTCCCTTCTCTTGGGATCTTGGACACACACGTACACATACCCTGCATGTTTGTCAAGTTGCAGCTCCAGGACTCGAACCATGCAGTTGACCATGCGGGATCCAGTTATCTCAAGCACCATGGTACCAGCTGACCCACTCGAGATTTTTTTAACAAGAGAGTGTTGTAAAGATGTTGGCGCCTTTGAATGTCATGGTGATACCAGTGGGGGCTGGCAATGGAAGGAAGTCAAGGTCGAGGGTGAAGTCAGGGAGACCAGAATTGTTGCAGCAGCTCGGGAGTGAGGTCCTGGGGTCTCCGCTGATGAGATAGCCACGATCGTGGTGGCCAAGGCTGGCCCTGAAATGCAGTCCGAAGTGGGTAGGCTATCAGCTCTCATGGGCTGCTTGTAGTCTGTATGAGTTTACTCAGGCTACAATAACAACCACACACTAGATTCTGGAAGTCAGACGTCCCAAATCAAGGTGTTGGCAGGTCTGTGCTCCCTCTGCAGGCACCAGGGCTGTGTCTGTTCCAGGCTCTTCTCCTCACTTCAGGTAATTCCTTGGCTCGTGGTAGCAGAACCCCAGTCTTCATGCTGTGTTCTTGTGTACCTAGCCATGTCCAAATTTCCCCTGCTTGTAAGGACGTAGTCAGGTTGAATTACTGCAGTATGATGTCATCTCGACTAATTCCATCTACCATGACCCTTCTCCCAACAAGGTCGTATTCTTTTCTTTTGCAGAGGTTTTTGCTACAGGGTGTGTGCACTTGCCAAAGAGACAGAGACAGACAAACAGAAAGCGAGAAATCACCCCCCAGGGGAGATGGCCATGCCGCAATCCTTTCTCCTCCATTCTCCTTTCGGGATCTTGGGCGTGCATGTACACGCGCCCGGTGTGAGTTTAAGCCACCAAGTCCGAGACTCAGACCTCGGTCGACTACTCAGGAGTTCAGCAACATAGCCATTACGCTAATTACTGGCCCCCAGCAAGGTCGTAATCTGAGGCACTGGAGGCTAGGACTCGGACGTGTGAGTCAGGAGGGTGCAGTTCCCCTAGCTCTGTCCTTTGGGAACCACTGACTGTGGAGCGTTGTTCCCTTCTGTAGCTCTTGGTTGCCTTGGCAAGTACGTTAGGTGAACAATGCCAAAGGGAATGAGAGCCATTGTATTTTACAGTGAGCTTGCCCCATCTTCCCTGAGAAAAAAGTCAAGTGCAAGATCAGTTTTATAGTAGTGGAGTATTTCAACGTAGTTGTTGGTAGACACTTGAGCATGAAGTGAGGCGGGGCCCGTCAGCTTGCCTGAGGTCTGATCTAACCCGATTTCGGAGACACTCTGGGCAGAAGATACCCCCCCCTGTCCTTCTCTCCTCTCTCCTGTCTCTTTCCACCTTTTTTCTTCCTGGGGGGTGGAGGGGGGGAGGTGGTAGATCTAAGGCATCTGTTACTTTGAAATGCAAAGATAACGGATTTTAATTGTATTGCTATTATAATCAAATAAGGCCCTTATAGATGTAGAAGGAATAGGACATTTTAGCCTATGTTGTTTTTTCTCTGTTAAATAAACAAACTCAAATTAAGCCTTGGTCCTTCTCATTCATTCATTCAGCTAATCCATGTCGAGTTCTTACCATAGGGAGGCATTGTTCTAAACTGTCTACACTATAAAAATAAGCTTAGGGTATGGCACATAAACTGGATTGATTTAGAATAAAATGATATTCAGTGGTGCTTGTTATATTTATGAGAACTATTTTCAGAAAATCTTATTTGGCTTCAATCACTTTTTGAAAAATCTGTCTCCCAAGTTCATACATTAAAGAAGTCCTTGCCTTGTACTGTACAGTTACGGCTGTAAATTTAGACACTAACTGAGCATGCTTTATTACTGTGGAAGTATGGTCAAAGTTGCCTTTTGGAAAAAAAAATGTCATTCTACTTGTTTTAGGCACTAAACAATATTCTTAAAAGGACTGAAACACAGAGAGGCATGTTATGAATTTTTTGTGGTTCTCTGTCCTAAGAGGCACTTGCTGTCTTTTTTTTCTCTGTAGTACATTGGTTTGCTGTTAACCAAAACCCAAATATTTAATTCCATCTTTAAGAGGACCCTGGCCTGTGTGGTAGGAAAGAAACTTTACTTTCTTACTAGGAAGAGCCCTGAGTTTGGAAATAAATGACATTTAGATATAACCCAGGTCTCAAAGTATGGAAGTCATCCTTGTATAGATACACTTTGTGGATAGGTGGTGGGCTGCTTTTCCAGAGTAACCTCCATTGTATACTTTTTTAAGAGAGATTTTTGCCCTATGTATGTGTGCTCACCAGAGAGACAGAGACAGGAAGCAAAAACTCACCCCCCACAATCCCGTCTCCATTCTCCTCTCGGGATTTTGGCCATGCATGCACACGTGCCCCATGTGAGTTTTAAGATGCTGGGTCTGGGACTTGAACCGTGGTCAACTACATGGGAGTTCAGTGATGTTAACCATTACGCCACCTGCTGGCCTCCCGCTTATGCTCTTCCTGATCTTTGCTTTGCTGGTGATCGGTTCAAGTGCCCATTGAGGGGTTAGCAGGCTTTTCTTGAATGTACAAATGATGCCCACCAGCAGGTGCTTAGGTTGGTTTACGTGTTTTCAAAAGATGTCTTCTCTACTTTTGTTCTCTTTTTTCTCTTTCACCCTTTTTCTTTGATCTTCACGTGGTTAAATATAAATAACATGCTGCTGTTACTTATTACTTTATGTTATTTATTTTTACAAGGGTAGCCATTTTTAAGTGGGCAGTTTGGTGATATTAAGTACATTCACATTGTTATATTGTTATATAACCACCATCACTCAAAAAATTTAAACCAAAAAGTTTCTTTAAATCAGAAGGTTAGCTGACAAAATAAAAATCAGTAGTGAAAGTAGTGGATAGCTTTTTCAGGACACTATTGACTGATTTTTTTGTTACTTTGGTTGGGAAAATTACTATAGCCACACTCGATTCTTTGGGACTCTTACACTGGGAAATTATATAATTCCAGTTGTTTTTTGGGATTGTGTATTATCTGTTTAGCATTTATGCAGCAGGTATATGGAACACTTAGGTTAGTGCCTTGCCCATCTCTCTTTCTTAAAGTTTTACTACAGGGCATGTGCACTCGCTGGAGAGAGACACAGAGAGATAGTATCTCCTCCATTCTCTTCTTAGGATTTTGGGCATACATGCATACATGCCCAGCCCATTTTCAACTGTGGAGCATGTGGGAGCTGACCCCTTCACCACCACGCCACCTGGCACACTGTTCGCCGGTCTTCAATGTTGTATAGGTGAAGAAACGTTAGTTTGACGTTCATTTAAAAGCACTCCATTTGGGGTAGGAGGAGTGTAGGGGTAACATGCAGTGCTCTGCAAGGCAGACCCACATGGGAGGGTTGCTGTTTTGTCTCTGGAGACCTCCCTGGGTACACTGGGCACCCATGTGCCCATCATCCTAGCTTGTAGAGGCTGGGGTTGGAGCCCAGGTCCAGGGCCCTGTTGTGGGTGCTGTCTCTTTGTCTCTTTGTCTCACTCACTCATGGACTACATAAACTTAAAAAATCCATTTTGGACATGCTTGGTTTGAAAAAACAATTCCACATCTATTAATGGCAAAAATTTTAGCTGCCAATGATGCATTTTTTTTCCCTGCTTCTTTTTTTAAAAATCATTTTAATTCTTACTTTTACTTTTTAAAATTTGCCAGAGGGCATGTGCACTTGCTGGAGAGAATGAGAAAGTGAAGAAGCACCCCTCAAGGGGGACGATCGCAACCCCAACCTCTTCTCCCCCATCTCTCCCTCTTTTGGGGTTTTTGGGTATGCACACATGTCTGATGTGTTTTTCAAGCCTCTGGGTCTGGGACTCAGACTGCACATTGATGTGGGTTGAGCCACCTTAACCACCACACCACCAGCTGACCTGTTACCAGCTTTCACTTTGACCAGTCTTCTTCCTGGACTTCTTCCAAGGTGAAGAGCATTCCCATGGAACTAGGAAAGATTTATTAGCTTATGGCAGCCAAAATGATCAAAGGGAGGACCAGAGTGGAGGATTGTCTAATAAAATCGGTGGGGAAAACCAGAAAACAGGTTTAATTGTAATCTGTAGTAGAGGGTATGTTAAGGCTAATATGGACTTGATTCACCAGATCCCAGATTGCTGAAACTCAAGAACATTCCCTAAAGCTTAAAATAATTCACCAATTACAAATAAGATGAAGACATTACTGAACACAGC